ACCTCCATCTACCTCCCATGGCAGAGCTGGCCTGGTATTGAGATGCTCCCAAGAGAAAGCTAGACAGTCACATCACTTTTTTCTGCTTCATGGGTAGGCTTCAGGGGCCACGCTTTGAACACTAAACCACAAGGGCCTAGGGCCAAAACCTCGACCATCTGAGCCTGTGGGACTCTTTCTCACACCAATATGGCAGGAAATGCCAAGAAGAAATCAAACCTTTCTTAACCCCAAATATGTGGAACAGTCTGTTATCCAGTCTACATATGTGGAAAAGCAGACCTGACTGATGGGGTCTACCCAAATTGACAAGAATAAGTCTCTATAAAGAAGGCCAGGGTCCCTGAGTGATACACGAGGCCCAGCAGGAATCTCACATGAACCTGGGCCAGAGTTCTTGCAGAGGGTGGCTGCCCAGACCTAAGGGAAGGATAGTGACCTTCCAAGTTATTTTAGCAAGCCAGACTGTTGTGACAGTCACCATTATTAAGCCACTGAGGCCTAGACAGAAGAGTAGCTCATCATCTAGGGCCACACAGTTCCTGAGAGCCCAGACAGGGTCCAAACTCTCCCTCTGGCATTAGAGTGTGGAGCCCACAGGACTGGGCACTACATGCAGCTAGTTTCCTTTCCTGATCAGGCAGTGCCTGCTGGCTCCCCTGAGAATGGCAGGCTCCTAGCACTGAAGCTGTGCCTCCTTCTGGCCCCACCTGCTAAGCCTCAAAGCATGCTTGGCATCCCTAAAGAGAGGCTGGCTCCATCATAGCTGTGCCAGCTGTGTGTCCAGTGGAAGGCGGCCAAGGCCACACCTCCACATGCAGCAGAGCTGGCCTGAATCAGCCATTCACATGCCTGGGGCAGATTCTCTGCCAGGTATGGGTGCCTAGCCCCCAGGCCCTTCAGAAAACAGCACCAGGATCTGAAACAGCAGTTTGGGACATTTTAAAAAGTGGAAGAGTCCTATGAGATTCCTTTATGACCTCTTACCCCACATTTGATGGTTAGAAAGGCAGAACGTGGCCACTGTCTGGATGTCTGTAGTCTGTAGCTGCTTCTCTTCAACCACTGGACCCTAAGGATAAGCGCTTTCAAGTACCTCAAGGATTTGCAAGGCCTCAAGGCAGGCATCTTCACACAGCAGACTACTGCCATCCCACCTGACCCTTTGAAATACACTCGCAGCTCCAATACCTGCCAGTACCCACTATCCCTCTGCTCAAGAAGGAGATTGGGGGCCTAGAGAGATGGCTCAGCAGTTAAGAGCACTGATTACCCGGGTTCAGGTCCCAGCGCCCATATGGCAGCTAACAACTGTCCATAATTCCAGTTCCGGGGGATCCAACTGTCTCTTCTGACCTCCTCGGGCACTGCATGACACAGGTGCACTTACATATATGCAGACAATGCATTCATATACATAAAATAAAAATAATAAATATTATTTAAAAAGAAGTAGATTCAAGTCTGAGGAGTGCCTGAGGAACAGGAGAGACCACAACTCATTTCAAATGAAACCAGGGCTTTTCCCTCTCTGGAAGCAAACACTCCAGGAGGCTGGGCTTCACTTCCAGTAGACAGCAAGCAGCAAGCTGTGCACCTTGAAGTGTGTCCTCTGCTAATCCCTCTATCACTATTGCCTCCTCCAGTGCCCCAAGTGCTAGAAACAGCAGCTCAAGCAAAGTCCAGAGTCAGGGGACCATGCAGGAAGTGTCCAAGCTTGACAAGAGAGTGGGACTTCCAGGAGGAAGGGGAAGTGTGAGCACAGGGTGGGCCCACAAACTGGCTGAGCATGAAACACAGGGCAATCCCCAGAGGCAGCAATGGAAGACACTCAAGACACAGCAAGGACAAAGCAGGATCAGGGAGCTGCTGCAGGTACCATGATGAGGAGTACAAGGCCTGAATGAGGTGGAGCAAGGCTGACAAAGCATTTCCTAGTGCTGAATGCTGACTGTCGTGCTCAGCCAGCACTGGCTTCCACCCACATGCACGTCGAAAATAAGGAAGGTGATGCACCACAGCTCAGCACCACCCAAAGTGGCAGGGGTGTCCAGACCTATTCCTAGAGTCCAAACCCCAGTAAAGCCTGGGCCTCTCCCCTCAACACAGAGACAGGGGGTCTGAACGCAGCCACTTGCCTAAGGTAACTGTCCTGCTTTGCCAGCCCAACACACCTGTATCTTAGACGCTCCAGATGAGACATAGTATACTGTCCCATGGCCACTCAGGACCACAAATACCATGGGGCTGACAAAAAGTCCATCTAATTCTTCCCCATCATGCTGGATAAAGTGAGCAGGCACAGCATAACTAGGACAATGTGTCCTGAGTCAGACAGTAAAAAGAAAATCATCAGTAAAATGGGGCCATTGGATATCCTCTCTACCTCTGGCCTCAGTCAACACCCACGCCATGATGTCAGCAAGACACAGCCATTCCCCCAAGGAGAAAGGCAGTAGGGTTAGCACTGAGTCCACTTACCTACCACAGGCCCCTCCTCAGCCTTGACCCTTTTACCTGGGTCAGTCAGCTTCCTCCCCTCAAAGACTGTTTTATCTTTAAATGCAGGCAAGAGTACAAGCAACTCCAACCGTAGCAAAACTTTTTAGTAACTAAACCCACCATAGTTAATGGAGCAAACTCAAAACAATTAAGATAGTTCACCCTCTGTGGAAGGAAACCTCCCACATACACTCTCTCCTTAAATCTTAATTTTTTTTTAAGTAGAAGTTAGTATTTTCAAATATTATATTGACCAAAATCAAACAGGATAACAAGAGCCTACTCTGGCATGGGTATGAGAAACAGACACAATATTGATAGAAGGCAAATTGGCACCTTCTATCAACAGGTGACACCCTCTCTGAAACTGATGCACACTCTTCTGGACTCTACTGGGGACAGAGCAGAAACTTATCTCACCTTGCAAAGGGGAGAGGAACTATTTGCTCAAGGCCATGCAACCAATATGTGGAGAAGCCAAGAGATGGCATTAGGCTAAGCAGATGCCAAAAAAGTACCTATAGAAACAGTTACACCCTCTTACCAAATCTAAGGACTTTCCCTCCAGATATAAGATTATGCCATGGTTCATCACTGTGCCATAAAATGACTGTACCCGTAATATTAATAGCAAAGAGCTCACAATTGGAAGGCACCAAAATGGGGACTGGTTAGATTAGAAATAGCCTCTTCTCACAACAGACACTACTGAAGGAAAGCTGTTAACTCAGAAAGGGATAGTGAGCTAGCTAGGAAGTGTTTACAGGCACTCCATGAGGAGGGGAATGTCTATACATGCAAACAGAGGGGTGCTGTAATTAACAGTGCCACCTGACTGATAGATGGAGGTGGGGGGGTAGGGGTAAGATAAGCCCCACACAGGAGACCAGAAATGGGATGAGGACATCCACTGGATAGTCTCACAGTCCTTGACCTTCATCTGTCACATACCTTTACCCCAAGGTGGAGGACCTTCAGGATGGGACCCCATCCCATTCCCTTTTTTTTTTCTCTCTTTTTTCTGGAACTCACTATGTAGACCAGGCTGGCCTTGAACTCACAGAGGTCTGCCTGCCTCTGCCTCCCGAGTGCTGGGACTACAGGTGTGCCCCAACATGCCTGGCTCCCATTCCCTTTTATAGATCCAGTGAAGCCACACTTGGGGAAGGCACTGATATCCACTCACAGCCAAAGGACTTGTTCATAAAAGCACATGTGAGCACCCAACCAGGACAGTCCTTTCTGGTGTTGACCCAGCACCTGCTCTAGCTAGACTTTAAAGATTCATTTCTCTCCAATATCATGGGGGTGGGGGGCAGTTTACTGATCTCCCCAGAAAGGCAAGAGAGGTTCTGAGAGTCCAGGCACCTATCCAAGGTTGGCTAAAGACAGAGGTACCAGAAGATGGGCCCGTGACCAACAGCCAAGACTAGCTCTGAGTTTGATGGAGAAGGAGGTCGTCCAAATAAACCAACAGGCCACCTGCTTGGCCCCATGCCAGGCTTTTCCAAATAAAGAAACATCAGAGAAACGCTTTCTGAGGGAGCAAAGCTGCACCTTCATTTTGCAGAGGTGGAAGCTAAGGCTCAGAGAGCGCTCTGCCCATAGCCACACCATAAGCAAGGTGTAGGAGTTTTCCAAACCCAAGGGTATCTTCCTCCTCCCAGAACAAGACTTGGAAAGTGAGGAAGATAGGAGAGACACTGACATTTTAATCATCCCGCACGGACTACACAGGTCCCTCCTATTGCCCGGTTCCCCAGCTCTTCGCCAGCTTGAGGGTCTAACCTCTCTTGCCAAAGTGGGAATGACAAAAGCCACCAACATTTCCTACAGAAGGAAGATAGATACCAGAGTGAAAGGAGGGCCCAGGAAGGAGAGCAGGAAAGGAAGTGGGCGATGGAAGCCATGCATCCCAGCCGGAGGGAGCACAATTACCGGGAGGAGGAAAGAGTCATTGGGCCAGAGCTGGGCCACAGAAGTGAAAAGTCAGCCGAAGCCACGACTCACTCAGTCCTACACACATCCCTTCCTAGCCTCTGGGCAGTCATGAAACCAGATAAAACGCACTGAAATCAGCTGCGCCAAGAGAAGGGAAGTGATTTGCTTGAGGGTGACAAGCAGTGGCCAGTGGCCGGCCAGCAGACCCAGGCCCGGGCTCGGCCTTTCCCTGAGGGTCACTTTGTGTCGATGGTCTCAGCTGTAAGCACAGCATCTGTTCGCTCTCCACCTACATACAGACACACCCAAGGTAGCAATGACCCCCGCACAGCATCAGACCGAAACCAAAAGGCCTCCAAGGCCCGCAGAGGAAGGAGACCCGCTGGTGAGCAGGGCTCCAAGAAGCCCGGGCCTCCCCGCTGGAGAAGGCCGAGTTCTCCACTCTCACAACCAGCCCTGGGCCGCAGCTCTGGGTCCCGTGCCCCACCCCTGGGACAGTCCCCCGCCGGGCAGGGTGACCTTAACGCCTCAGGCGGGGGTCGCAGGCGGCAGTTCACCTCTTTGAGCTGCTCCATCTCGCTACGAATGGCCTCATAGTCCACCTCGAGCTCCTCGAACTGCAGCTTGAGCTGGTGCTTCTCTTCGAGCACTGCCAGCCCATACTCGGCCGCCTGGATCTTCTCGCGCGTGGTCTCGGCCAGCTCGTGGGACAGCCGTTTCACCTCGGCGCGCAGCCACTCCGGCTGCGCCTCCATCACCAGTCGCGCGTACTCCTCCTCCTCCGACGGCGCAGACATGGTGGCCGCGCGCCGAGGCCGGCTCCCACTGTGGGTCCCACAAGCCGGGCCCTTGTCGCCGCCGCCGCCCAGCCTCGACCACCGCCCGCGCCGCTGCACTGCTCCTCCCTGACGCGCGGGGCACACTGGGGACTGCAGTCCCGCCGCGAGAGGACTACACAACCCGTCGCCCCTCGCGCCAGCCCGGCTAGCGACTATGATTGGTCTAAATCCCAAGGAGGGCGGGCTCTCGGGCGCTGACGCGAGCCGACGCCTCCTGAAGGATTTTGGGAGATGTAGTCCCGCCGAACGTCTAGTGCTCGGCCCGTTATGCGCCGCGCCCGCCCGGCTCTAAGCAATGATTGGCCCGCGCCGCTGACGTCACACGACTCTGGGTGCCACGGACAGGAGCCCAGGGACAACCGCAGCCATCCCAGAACCTCCACCCTTCAGCTCCCAGCCATTGTGGAGTCCAATGAGTAGCGCTCTGGATGCTAAGAATGAGATTCATGAGCTACAGGGTCAGGGAACCGCTTGTAAGACCAGGTAGCGCGCACTCTGCGGGATTTGAATGACTTGTGGTGGGGCCGCGGGAGGTGCCAAAAGGATGCAAATAACTGGGTGCTGGAGTCCCAGTAGAGTCTCAGCCTCAGCCTGGTCACTACTTCCTCTTGTACCCCACAGTCTGTTGGGGTATTGTTTCACGGAAAAGAGCAGTTCTGTGAGCAGTGTGATAAACGTGTTTAATACTGTTGTTGTCTCTCCCCCTCTCCCCTCCATTTTCTTGAGTGACTTAAATTTCAAATGTGGTTCTTCTCTTTAACCCCTCATATCGTGGTTTGGATATAATTCCCTTGGTCCTTTATTCACTATACCCCAAACTCCACATACCTTACAGCTGCGAACCACCATAAAAACCCAGAGATTCGTGGAAGATATCTCAGTGGCTAAAGGGCTTGCAGAACAAGCTTCGGGACCTGTGTTCGGATCCCAAGAGCCCACTTAAAGCTGGCCGCAGTAGCCAGTCTGTAATCCAGGTGCCCCTAAGGCAAGATGGGAGGCGAAGACAGGAGAATCCCCGGAAGCTCTAGAGCCAGTTACCCTCGTGTATGAAAAGGGGAACAACAAAGAGACTCTGTCTCAAACAAAGTAAAACACAAAAATTGACACCCGGGAGGTTTTCATCTGATGATATGGGGTCTGTGCACACACACACTCGTCATACACACTTGACACAAAGATTAAAAGAAAATCTAGAGTCAGCACAAGAGTCATGTAAATAAGTTTGTCATCCCCTCTTTTCTTTAGCCAATCCACAACTGCCTACCAGGGAAAATAATGCCCATCACCCCTACTAAACACATAGTCCAATAGCGCCCTCCCTTTCTCCTTCTCTTCCCCCAACTTCTCTAAGACCTGTTAGTAACAAATTTCTGTGCCATACATTTTGGTTTCACTTCCTCCTTGTGTCTCACCTGACACTTAACATACAATCCTAGCTACCAGGCCATCTTGGCACAATGACACTCTGAAGATCAAATTAGAAGCATAGCAATAGAAATCACAACACACACACACACTCACACACACACACACACACACACACACACTTTTAACCAAGTACTATGTGGATTTCAATTGCACTGGGGCCCAACACTGTATTCCTGGTCCTCTACAGTTGTGTCTAGTTGTCAGGTTTTCTTCACCTCCTACTGTCTGGCCTTCCTGAGAGCAAGCTAGTGATGTACACACTGGTACCAGCATGGGTTGATTATTTAGAGTCTGTATTTGGAGCAGGTTTTGCTGAGTTCTCACTGGCACAGATCATTTTGGGATCAGGAATCTTTTACTCTCTGACTTGCAGATCTGGGATCAGCCATTTCCCTATGGAACCTGGATTCTTTTAGTGTTTTGATGCTTTGTTTATATAGGAATAATGTGTCATATTTTTATTATTAAATTATGTATATATGTGTATGTATGTATATATGGAGCTGGAGTTACAGACTGCTGTGAGCTGCCTGACATGGGTGCCGAAAACCGAGGTCCTCTGGAAAAGCAGTACAGTATCTGTCCCACCCCTAAATTATTTTTTGACCTAGGGTTTCATGTAGCCCAAGCTGGTGGCTTCCAACTTTTTTTGTAGCCAAGAATGACCTTGAACTTCTGATCCTCCTACCTCAAACTCTGGAGTGCTGGGATTACAGGTGTGTGCCACCATGTCCAATTTATTGCAGCCCTGAAGACTGAACCCAGGGCTTTAAGCATGCTAGGCAAGTGCTCTACCAACAGAGCTCCATCTTTAGCCTCAAATTGGGTTATTTTTAAGGAATTTTACCGTAGTAGGAGTAGATGTGACCAACCAGCCTGGTTATCTGGGACAGTCCTGGCTCTATACTGAAAGATCCCTCTCAGACCCAGGCAACCTGTTCACAATGACTGGGCAGACCCTAGGATAAAGAAGGAACAAGCCTTATTCCAACAAGTACATAGCCTCTACAGCACCTGCACCTGCCCTAGGCTGGCCTGACTGGGCACGTCCCCACCCCTGTCCTGCACCTCCCTATGGGACAGATATGAGAAGAGATGGAGAGAGTCATGAGAATCTGGTGCAGAAACTGAACAGAGAACTTTGAACTTGAAGACAAGGTGGTGGCAGAGGGACTGGGAAGGTTTCAGGCACATTGAAATGCAGAGTTGATCACTACCATTGTGAGCTTTCTTCCTACAGGAGGGACAGTGCTGAACAACAAGGTTAGGGTCAGGAGGGGGGAATTCTAGGGTCCTTAGTTTGTCACCAGTAGGGGTGGGGGAAACAGGAAATGCTTCCCTGAGTAGATGACACCTGAGAGAGATCCAGGGGACTCCTGGTCAAGGCTATGAGGGTAGAGGACCTACAAGGATAAGAGAAGCAGGTTGATCTCCCCCACACTACAGATGATGGGCCACCCCTTGAGCTGTCCCTGGGTCTCAGACATTACCAACATCTTGACCTACATCATTTCATTCAGTGCTCTCAGTACTCAGAATCAGACCATCTGTTTTTATAAATGAGGAAACTGAGGCTCACTCCCAAATCCTTGGTGTTGCCCTTAACTTCCTCATCCATTCACCTAGCTAGCAAAGGCTGTGTCACCCTGCTTCATGACAAACCCCACAAGAGAGCCTCCTGCTTGTCCCAAGTGCCATTCATCACCTCTACCCAGATCATTGATATCACCATGTACTGTCCTCCTTGCCTTCCCACTCCCAGTCCATTCAGAGTCAAAGTTAAGACAACACAGTCACTTGTAAGACTGCACACCTCCAGAGAGGCCCTTTCCTTCACATCACCCACTGGAATTAATTCCCCCTTCTGGCTTTAGTTACTTCCCTCTGTTGGGTTCTGGGTCACCCTAGAATGTCAGCTCCAGGAGGACAGGAACCTTGAGAGGGCCCAGCATCTCTTGGTCTATTTGGAGGGTGGGGGAATGCCAGCCAGAGTTCCAGGGGATTCCCCTTATACAGACCAGGTTGGCCTCACTCAGTACCACTCCCTGAACATATGCACTCTCTTGTGATAAGGCAGGGAATGCCCTTGAGGATAGAGGCAGTCTGGCAGAAAAGGTCCAGGAATCAAGCAGTAGGGACTGCTGCCGGGAGAGTAGACAGTGGCTCTATCTATGGTGGACTGCTCAGCAAAAGCCTCAGTCGAACTGCTGAGCCTTTGTGATCAAAGGCTCCAACAACCCAGGCAAAGCTGACCAGTCTTCCTACACAGAGATGCTTGGGCTGTTACTTGATGGATATGGGGGAACACTGTCAGGCTCTGCCCACTCACTATTGCCTGGAAAGCTGTCATTACCCATGTGAACACCTCCTTGATGGCCCAGGAGCAAAGCATCAGGTCATGGCCTGCTCAGGTATGCTTGGCTAACTTAGCGGAATGGCACATGATACAGCAACCCTGAATATTCATGATGTCAGGGGCTCCTCAACTTAAATCTGAATGTCAGTCATTCAATAAGCTACTCTGTGTCATCTGTGTCATGCCTTGGCTGGCTCAGACACATCAACAACACTGATGCTGAAGACCCCAATACTTTTATCCAGCATTTATCCTGCTCCAAGCCCTGTGCCTTAGTAAACATTCACTATCTCTTTTAAGCCTCATGAACAAGTTACAAAGCTGGGGCTACCTTTTCATTTTATAGATTAGAAAACAGCACAACAGAGAAAATGATTGCCCAGACTTTCATAGCAGAAACTAGGGTTCAGTTCCCAGCACTCACATTAGGCAGCTTAAAAGCTCCAGCTCCAGGGAATCAGATGCCCTCTCAGAGCACCTGTACTCATGTGCACACACAAACACACACACACACACACACACCATAATTTAAAATAATAAAATAAGGGGCTGGAGAGAAGGCTCAGTGGTTAAGAGCACTGGCTACTCATGTAGAGCACCTGGGTTCTATTCCCTAATCCACATGGTGGCTAACAACCATCTGTAGCTTCAGTTTCAGGGGATCTGATGCCCCCTTCTGGCCTCCATGGGCATTGCACAATACGGGTGCACTTACATACATGCAGGCAAAATACTCATACACATAAAAATAAAAATAAATTTAAAAAATAATAAATATTTTCTAAAATGTCAAGGAAAACTATTACTTTGTATGCTCATTTTAAAAACTAGTAGGAAAAAAAATGCCGGGTGTGGTGGTGCACACCTTTATTCCCAGCACTCGGGAGACAGGGGCAGGCGGACCTCTGTGAGTTCAAGGCCAGCCTGGTCTACATAGTGAGTTCTAGGACAGCTGAGGCTACAGGGAGATGATGTCTCAAAAAAGACCAAAAAAAAAAACAAACAAAAAAACTAACAGGGGAGCTGGAGCGATGGCTTAGCGATTAAGAACACTGGCAGAAGACCTGGGTTGAGTCCCAGCACCCACATGGCAGCTAACAACTGTCTGTAACTCCAGTTCCAGGGGATCTGACAGCCTCTTCTGTCCTCTGCGGGCATTGCATGACATGGGTGCATTTACCTATATGCAGGCAATACACGCATACACATAAAACAAAAATATTTTAAAAACTAATAGATGGAGGGCTGGAGAGATGGCTCAGCAGTTAAGAACACTGCCGGTTCCTGCAGAAGACCTGGGTTCAGTTCCCAGCCCCCACGTGGCACTTAACAACCATTCATAACGTTCTAGGGGATCTGACAGGCTCTTCTGTCCTCTGTGGGCATTGCACGACACGGGTGCACTTACCTATACATGCAGGCATAACACATAAAATAAAAATAATAAATAAAAATTAAAAACTAATAAAATAAATAGTGTATACTACTCACTGGTTCCTTGTCACCATGCATTTTAAAGGCTGCACAGTCCTTGGCTTGGATCTACTATATGTTAATCCTATTGACAAACATCTGGTTGTTCTTGGTCTTCTTCAGCAAGGCACATCTGTGCACAATATCTGTGAGTCCTGAGCAAGTCTGTTATCCTCAGAGGAGGAATTTTCCAATATTGAAAGTTAATGCTGGATGTGAGCTGACTTTCCCACTTTCCTTCATCTTGACCCTGACTGATATGGATACGCCTCTCCTTTGGGTATTCCTGCCCTGACCTCCACCTCTGTCCTCAAGTATCTGAGGTCATGGGGTCCTATGGCTTGATCCAAGAGAGCTCTGGATAACATGGCCCATTGGGACTATCATCCAACAGTCAGGCAGCCTGCCAGTACTCCTCCAGCTTCACAAGGCCACTTTTGTCCTGTAAAAGTCTAACCTACTCCTTAACTGATCCACAGGTTCAATAACGGCCCAATCAGAATTCCGGATGGCTTTGTTTACTTTCCAGAAATCAATCAATGGAATAGAATTGAGAGTCTAAAAATTGACCCATGACTTTATGGTGAGTTGATTTTCAACAAGTGCTCCAGGACAACAGATACCAAAGAATAAAACTGAAGCCCCACCTCATGACAGATGCAAAATTAACCCAACTTGGATTAAAGACTTAATTAGCATTATAATACTCCTATAAGAAAAATAAGTATAAATGTTTGTGGCCTTGGATTAAGCAGTAGTTTCTTTTTATTTTTATTTTGTGTGTGTGTGTGTATGAGTGTATTGCCTGCATGTATGTGAGTGCACCCGTGTCATGCAATGCCTCAGAGATCAGAAGAGGCCTGGGATTCCCCTGGAACTGGAGTTAAGGATGGT